AAACGTAAGGGGTAACACTGTCGTTTTTTTTTCGGGTCGAATTTTTGAGTTTCGATATCTCAGCTCTGGAAGGGTCTAGAGCCTCCATTTTTGCACTCAGGTCTAAGTCTCATGGCCCTCTATCAGAATCCAGAGTTTCAAGAAGATTGGAGAAACTTATTTTTTCGCCCAAAAAATGCAAAAAACGTAAGGGGTAACACTGTCGTTTTTTTTTTCGGGTCGAATTTTTGAGTTTCGATATCTCAGCTCTGGAAGGGTCTAGAGCCTCCATTTTTGCACTCAGGTCTAAGTCTCATGGCCCTCTATCAGAATCCAGAGTTTCAAGAAGATTGGAGAAACTTATTTTTTCGCCCAAAAAATGCAAAAACGTAAGGGGTAACACTGTCGTTTTTTTTTCGGGTCGAATTTTTGAGTTTCGATATCTCAGCTCTGGAAGGGTCTAGAGCCTCCATTTTTGCACTCAGGTCTAAGTCTCATGGCCCTCTATCAGAATCCAGAGTTTCAAGAAGATTGGAGAAACTTATTTTTTCGCCCAAAAAAAAAAAACGTAAGGGGTAACACTGTCGTTTTTTTTTTCGGGTCGAATTTTTGAGTTTCGATATCTCAGCTCTGGAAGGGTCTAGAGCCTCCATTTTTGCACTCAGGTCTAAGTCTCATGGCCCTCTATCAGAATCCAGAGTTTCAAGAAGATTGGAGAAACTTATTTTTTCGCCCAAAAAAAAAAAACGTAAGGGGTAACACTGTCGTTTTTTTTTCGGGTCGAATTTTTGAGTTTCGATATCTCAGCTCTGGAAGGGTCTAGAGCCTCCATTTTTGCACTCAGGTCTAAGTCTCATGGCCCTCTATCAGAATCCAGAGTTTCAAGAAGATTGGAGAAACTTATTTTTTCGCCCAAAAAAATGTAAAAAACGTAAGGGGTAACACTGTCGTTTTTTTTTCGGGTCGAATTTTTGAGTTTCGATATCTCAGCTCTGGAAGGGTCTAGAGCCTCCATTTTTGCACTCAGGTCTAAGTCTCATGGCCCTCTATCAGAATCCAGAGTTTCAAGAAGATTGGAGAAACGTAATTTTTTGCCCAAAAAAGTAAAAAACGTAAGGGGTAACACTGTCGTTTTTTTTCGGGTCGAATTTTTGAGTTTCGATATCTCAGCTCTGGAAGGGTCTAGAGCCTCCATTTTTGCACTCAGGTCTAAGTCTCATGGCCCTCTATCAGAATCCAGAGTTTCAAGAAGATTGGAGAAACTTATTTTTTCGCCCAAAAAATGCAAAAAACGTAAGGGGTAACACTGTCGTTTTTTTTTTCGGGTCGAATTTTTGAGTTTCGATATCTCAGCTCTGGAAGGGTCTAGAGCCTCCATTTTTGCACTCAGGTCTAAGTCTCATGGCCCTCTATCAGAATCCAGAGTTTCAAGAAGATTGGAGAAACTTATTTTTTCGCCCAAAAAATGCAAAAAACGTAAGGGGTAACACTGTCGTTTTTTTTTCGGGTCGAATTTTTGAGTTTCGATATCTCAGCTCTGGAAGGGTCTAGAGCCTCCATTTTTGCACTCAGGTCTAAGTCTCATGGCCCTCTATCAGAATCCAGAGTTTCAAGAAGATTGGAGAAACTTATTTTTTCGCCCAAAAAATGCAAAAAAAGGGGTAACACTGTCGTTTTTTTTTCGGGTCGAATTTTTGAGTTTCGATATCTCAGCTCTGGAAGGGTCTAGAGCCTCCATTTTTGCACTCAGGTCTAAGTCTCATGGCCCTCTATCAGAATCCAGAGTTTCAAGAAGATTGGAGAAACTTATTTTTTCGCCCAAAAAATGCAAAAAACGTAAGGGGTAACACTGTCGTTTTTTTTTCGGGTCGAATTTTTGAGTTTCGATATCTCAGCTCTGGAAGGGTCTAGAGCCTCCATTTTTGCACTCAGGTCTAAGTCTCATGGCCCTCTATCAGAATCCAGAGTTTCAAGAAGATTGGAGAAACTTATTTTTTCGCCCAAAAAATGCAAAAACGTAAGGGGTAACACTGTCGTTTTTTTTTTCGGGTCGAATTTTTGAGTTTCGATATCTCAGCTCTGGAAGGGTCTAGAGCCTCCATTTTTGCACTCAGGTCTAAGTCTCATGGCCCTCTATCAGAATCCAGAGTTTCAAGAAGATTGGAGAAACTTATTTTTTCGCCCAAAAAAAAAAAACGTAAGGGGTAACACTGTCGTTTTTTTTTTCGGGTCGAATTTTTGAGTTTCGATATCTCAGCTCTGGAAGGGTCTAGAGCCTCCATTTTTGCACTCAGGTCTAAGTCTCATGGCCCTCTATCAGAATCCAGAGTTTCAAGAAGATTGGAGAAACTTATTTTTTCGCCCAAAAAAAAAAAACGTAAGGGGTAACACTGTCGTTTTTTTTTCGGGTCGAATTTTTGAGTTTCGATATCTCAGCTCTGGAAGGGTCTAGAGCCTCCATTTTTGCACTCAGGTCTAAGTCTCATGGCCCTCTATCAGAATCCAGAGTTTCAAGAAGATTGGAGAAACTTATTTTTTCGCCCAAAAATGCAAAAAACGTAAGGGGTAACACTGTCGTTTTTTTTTTCGGGTCGAATTTTTGAGTTTCGATATCTCAGCTCTGGAAGGGTCTAGAGCCTCCATTTTTGCACTCAGGTCTAAGTCTCATGGCCCTCTATCAGAATCCAGAGTTTAAGAAGATTGGAGAAACTTATTTTTCGCCCAAAAAAAAAAAAACGTAAGGGGTAACACTGTCGTTTTTTTTTTCGGGTCGAATTTTTGAGTTTCGATATCTCAGCTCTGGAAGGGTCTAGAGCCTCCATTTTTGCACTCAGGTCTAAGTCTCATGGCCCTCTATCAGAATCCAGAGTTTCAAGAAGATTGGAGAAACTTATTTTTTCGCCCAAAAAATGCAAAAAACGTAAGGGGTAACACTGTCGTTTTTTTTTTGGGTCGAATTTTTGAGTTTCGATATCTCAGCTCTGGAAGGGTCTAGAGCCTCCATTTTTGCACTCAGGTCTAAGTCTCATGGCCCTCTATCAGAATCCAGAGTTTCAAGAAGATTGGAGAAACTTATTTTTTCGCCCAAAAAAAAAAAACGTAAGGGGTAACACTGTCGTTTTTTTTTCGGGTCGAATTTTTGAGTTTCGATATCTCAGCTCTGGAAGGGTCTAGAGCCTCCATTTTTGCACTCAGGTCTAAGTCTCATGGCCCTCTATCAGAATCCAGAGTTTCAAGAAGATTGGAGAAACTTATTTTTTCGCCCAAAAAAAAAAAACGTAAGGGGTAACACTGTCGTTTTTTTTTTCGGGTCGAATTTTGAGTTTCGATATCTCAGCTCTGGAAGGGTCTAGAGCCTCCATTTTTGCACTCAGGTCTAAGTCTCATGGCCCTCTATCAGAATCCAGAGTTTCAAGAAGATTGGAGAAACTTATTTTTTCGCCCAAAAAATGCAAAAAAACGTAAGGGGTAACACTGTCGTTTTTTTTTTCGGGTCGAATTTTTGAGTTTCGATATCTCAGCTCTGGAAGGGTCTAGAGCCTCCATTTTTGCACTCAGGTCTAAGTCTCATGGCCCTCTATCAGAATCCAGAGTTTCAAGAAGATTGGAGAAACTTATTTTTTCGCCCAAAAAAAAAAAACGTAAGGGGTAACACTGTCGTTTTTTTTTCGGGTCGAATTTTTGAGTTTCGATATCTCAGCTCTGGAAGGGTCTAGAGCCTCCATTTTTGCACTCAGGTCTAAGTCTCATGGCCCTCTATCAGAATCCAGAGTTTCAAGAAGATTGGAGAAACTTACTTTTTCGCCCAAAAAAAAAAACGTAAGGGGTAACACTGTCGTTTTTTTTTCGGGTCGAATTTTTGAGTTTTGATATCTCAGCTCTGGAAGGGTCTAGAGCCTCCATTTTTGCACTCAGGTCTAAGTCCCATGGCCCTCTATCAGAATCCAGAGTTTCAAGAAGATTGGAGAAACTTATTTTTCGCCCAAAAAAAAAAACGTAAGGGGTAACACTGTCGTTTTTTTTTCGGGTCGAATTTTGAGTTTCGATATCTCAGCTCTGGAAGGGTCTAGAGCCTCCATTTTTGCACTCAGGTCTAAGTCTCATGGCCCTCTATCAGAATCCAGAGTTTCAAGAAGATTGGAGAAACTTATTTTTTCGCCCAAAAAATGCAAAAAACGTAAGGGGTAACACTGTCGTTTTTTTTTTCGGGTCGAATTTTTGAGTTTCGATATCTCAGCTCTGGAAGGGTCTAGAGCCTCCATTTTTTCACTCAGGTCTAAGTCTCATGGCCTTCTATCAGAATCCAGAGTTTCCAGAAGATTGGAGAAACTTATTTTTTCGCCCAAAAAATGCAAAAAACATAAGGGGTAACACTGTCTGGTTTTTTTGGGGTCGAAAATTTGAGTTTCACCAATCTTCTTGAAACTCTGGATTCTGATAGAGGGCCATGAGTCTTTGACCTGAGTGCAAAAATGGAGACTCTAGATATATCAACCCGGTCACACTAAATGCATCTCGCACGCAGTGTGTTTATAGTGCAATTTATACGCGAAAATTAGTTTTTACATGCATAGGAAACGCACCGTGTGTAATATACGTTTGGTTAGGATTATGGCAAGCCAAGAGGTTCAGAATTACACCATAAATTAATCGCGTTTACTGCCATAGTTATTAACATATAGTAAGGATAAGCATGTGTATATTGCCTAGTTGCAAGTTTGTTTCAGAAATGGTGACATTTTTTTTCCATCATTATAGGAGTATTAGATTGAATGAGTTAGAATTAAATGTTTTATTAATCATTAGAAAATAGACATTAAGAAAATAGATTATGCAAGTACTTTTACTTTTAATACTTAAAGTACATTTAAAATAAAGTACTTTTTACTTTTTACTTAAGTATGGTTGTCATTGTGTTACTTCTACTTTTACTAAAGTAAATATGTATCTGGTTATTTGTATTTTTACTTAAGTACTGAGATTCAGTACTTCCTCCACCACTGGTCATTTCTTTGTTTCAGGTACAAAGAAGCAAGCGCCTGCACCTCCCAAACAGACTGCCACACCTCAGAGTGTAAAGACGGCTCCTAACCAGCCCACACCAGGCCAGTCCTCGGCCCAGAGCATCCCTCAGCCTCTCATCGCACCCCGTCGCAACAACCAGACCCCCATCCAGGCCCCCAGTCACCCTCCTCCTCAACCTCCTCCCCAGAGCACAGAAGAACCAGACCAGTCCCTTCCCAGAACCCCCACCCCACCCGGTACACCGCCCCACGACAACTCCCAGACCCCCCTCACTACCTACCCCTCCGGCTCCCTGCCACGCCCCAGACCCACCCCTCGCGTGCGACCCAAACCCAGCGGCCCGCCACCACCCCAACCAACAAGCGATGGTGCCAATGGTGTCTGTGTGTCTGGATCCAAGATCATCTCAGGTAAGAATAGGCACTTTTATTTGGCACTATATCATCTGCTTTTGGATCTGTATTATTATTATTATTACTATTATTATTTGTGTTTATTATTGCCCATACTTGAAATTAGTTGAACAAATGTATTAAGAGCATTGAACTTTGAAGTTTGATGGAAATTAATGAAAAACAACAACATTGTGACATTTTTCCACAGGCTGGCAAATGATAATAATAAATAACAATGGAAATACTTAAGTTATTTTATAAATAATTATAAACATTATGTAATGTTTATAGAATTATAATTAAGAATTTGAATTCATTATATTACATATACATTATTTTTGTTTAGTTTTATTTATATTCAATATGACAATATGCTTTCAATATGCTATATATTGTATTGGTAATATAATTATGATAAATAATAATTGAAATAATACAATACATTTATGCGGAAGAGGATTAGGGCCAAGCATAATAATAAAAAAAAAAACATCTCTAGATTAATGTCATTATAATGCGAGATTAAACTTGTTAAATTTCGAGAAGAAAAGTTGAAATACAATCTTGAGAATAAACTCATTAAATATCGAGAATAAAGTCGTGGTGTACTTTTTTTTCTCTAAATTTAATGAGTTTTTTTTTCTCGAAACAAAATGACTTTATTCTCAATATTTAATGAGTTTATTCTTTGTATTTCGACTTCTTTCTTGAAATTTAACGAGTTTTTTTTCCCTAAAACGCAACGACTTTATTCTCGATATTTAATGAGATTACTCTCAAGATTGTATTTCGACTTTTTTCTCAAAATTTAACAAGTTTAATCTCACATTATAATAAATTTAATCTCGATATTAATTGAGTTTATTCTCAAGATTGTATTTCGATTTTTTTCTCAAAATTTAACAAGTGTATTCTCACATTATAATGACTTTAATCTGGATATTAATTGAGTTTATTCTCAAGATTGTATTTCGACTTTTTTCTCGAAATTTAACGAGTTTTCTCCTCGAAACACAGCGACTTTATTCTCGATATTTAATGAGTTTATTCTCAAGATTGTATTTAGACTTTTTTTCTCGAAATTTAACAAGTTTAATCTCACATTATAATGACTTTAATCTCGAGATGGTTTTAATTGTTTTTTATTATTGCTTGGCCCTAATCCTCTTCCGTGCTTATATGAGTAAAAATAATACATTATTTTATTTTTTTTATTTATGAAATGATTATTTCATTTCAATTCTAGAAAATAAAAGCCTTGCATATGACCAAAATATTGTACAGAGTGTTGCTAATATTATCATAATAAATAGTAATGAAAATAATTAAATACTTTAATAAATAAAAATAAATAATACATTCTTTTATAATTTCATTATATATTATAAATGTACCAGAGATAACTTTATCCTTATCCTGTGGGCAAATTAGAAAAAAAATTCAACATGTCCGTGCAAGCGTTATGGGAATGTCAAGAGCTCAATGGATGCCGCTTACTCACTTTATGACATCTCAATCAAATACAACTAGAGTCTGTAGAAAACCACAGGTGTCCAATGTCTGTATATAATGTACCTCATTAAAAGCTCATTACTGGGCAGGAAGCCCAACACTAGCCCCTGCCAAACAGCTGCCCTGAGGGTTTCCCTCCATTAGGACCGTTTAACATGACCAAATAACTTTGTCTTCAGATGAGCGTCATCTTTGTTTCATGCATTATATACTGTATAGTTATCTAGTTTATATGTAATATTTACATTTAAATATGCAAAGCGAAAGTTGCGTAATTATTTCCTTTACACATCCTTGAATGTTCCGTGTTAAATAGAAGTTAAACTCTATAGACAGCATTCATGCCATGTAAAAAAAATATTGATAATATTTCTGAAATATTGACATTGGTAAAAGTCTTGTTTACGGTAATGCACTTAAAATGGAAGTTTCGAAAGTCAGTTATTATAGATATAAACACGATTATTGTTCGTTTCTGCAGATTGAGGAACGTCAAATTGATTTTCTGTGATGATCAACAAAATGTCAGCTGTGATGATCTATCTCCGATGACTATTCTTCTGAAAATCAAACACAATTGTATCCAAAGAAATCAAAGCAGGACAGGGAGAAAGAATCTTGAGTCTTAATTTAAAAGATGAGTTCTATTCCTTAAAAACGGAATGTTCCGTGACAGTTAATGATCATCATTCATCGTGGCTGAACACAAATCTTTCATTTTTGTGTTTAATAATGATATTTACTCAATACTCTTTCAGTCTCACACACACACACATCTTCATATCTGGATTTCACATTTATCCCTCATAACACAAGATGTCATCATTGGCCTCTCTGCAGGATGCATCGTGTGTAATAATCTTAGTCGTAAGTTTGGGTCAGTGAAACCACATTGGAACCGTTTCCAGTGCTTGTGGAAATATCAGCAGATTCCCAGAGTCCTTCGCAGTTTGGCGTGAGGTTCAGGCTCTCCTGGTTTACTGCATTGCTTCTGCCGCCACGTTCACAGCGGACGCTTCAATGACATTACCACCGCCGTGAATCATGCATCAGCACTGTTTAAAGAAATCTCCACTTCTGGTGTTTAATGACACACTTTCCGATGGTTCACCGGCATCAGACCTTCATATTCAAAGTCAACATGAATTTAAAATTCAGCCTGTTTACTTTCCTAATACATGTTCCTGGTCTTCATCTTCATTGCACTACAATTCAAAAGTTTGGATTTTTTTTTACGTTTTTGAAAGACGTCTCTTCTACTACCTTCTACCTAGGCTGCATTTATTTATTCCAAACTTTTGAACTGTATTGTATATTTGCAACTTTACATAACCCACTTATTTTGACACATTATAGAAGTAAAATGGGTTGCAGACCCATTCATGTTGACTTTAAAAGGTCATTAGATTGTGATTGTGTTTATGGAAGTTCACAGCCATCTGAATGATGATTGGTTGGTCATCATCAGTGATTGATCCTTTGAACATGTTGTGACGTTGTTGAACTGTTACAGATGTGTGATCTTCTGCCTGTGAGGTCTGGTTTGAGTGACAGGCGATGGTAAGATTTGGGCGTATCCGTCAATGTTTTCTGAGCTCAGTGTGTGTGTGTGTGTACGCTTTCTGCACAGCGGCAGCCGTCCTGGTGCCTGTTTTAACCCGACTAACAGCAAGTTAAAACGCATGACAACCAGCACATTGCAACTAAACATGTAACCTCGGCTGCTTCTGCAGGGTGAATGTCATCTGTGCCATAAATACTGTTATTTAACATTATTGAATTTTTTAGTTTGGGGTCAGTTTTATTTATTTTTCTGCTGAAAGAAATCACTTTTATTTTGCAAGGAGGACAAATGGAATTGATCAAAATTGACTAAACTCTTTGTAAATATATTTATGTCAAATAAATGCTTCTTTTGAACCTTCTACTCCTCAAAGATTCCTGAAAAAAATGTATTACGGTTTACACACACAAATATTAAATATAACTTTTCAACATTGATAATAAAAATAAATAGCAGCAGATTGTGACACTGACAACTGGAGTAATGATGCTGAAAATTCAGCTTTGATCACAGGAATAAATCATATTTTGCAATATATTCAGTTATAAAGTTATTTTAGATAATAATACTATTTTAGTTAATGCAGTTTTTTGTTCAAATAAATGCAGCCTTGGTGAGCATGAGACGTTAAAAATCTTACTGACCCCAAACTTGTGAACAGTAGTGTATATTTGGTAGTGTTTGGCTATTAAAGATGTATAATATTAATATTGTTGGTTAAATATAAATGGCTAATAAATAAAATAAAACATTTTCAGAACGTTATTGATGTTAGTGATATAACATGCATTTTGATATCCAAAATACATTCAAGTGCTGCTTGTTCAATTATACATTCTTGGTTTCACAAATATTGCTTATTTTCTCTGGGACAGGTTTTTATGAAATTTAGTTTTGGTGGAAAGATTAGTAAAATATTTTCTTTTGAAAACTTTAACTATGCATTTTGATTGCACAGATGGAGATGGAGATGGAGAGGAGAGATCTTTTACGGGACCAGGGCTGGATCTTGTCCCGGAGCTTGAGGATGAATCCTTGGAAACAACCACCGAGGATGAACACCAATCAGAAAACACCGCCCTGTGAGGTGGGCGGAGTCCAGTCTTCACACAGCCAATCGAAAGCTATGTTCGTAATGGAATACTAGCATACTGCACCGTATATTCCTACCGTTTTTAAGGATGTGAACGTATCCAACGTGAGACAAACATTGTCACATGACCTCTTTATATACCGGTTACCTCATGAATAAATAGTTCAAGTAAAATATGTCTCAACTTTTGGAAGCGTGATCAAATAAAGAGTCATGACAGTTGTAGTTTAAACGACACTGGAAATGGAAGGTCAAGTTAATGCATTGCATTATGGGATACGGCACCCAGCACAGTGTGCAAATATAGTAGGTCATCTGGGTATATTTTAAGCATACTGAAAGTATGCAAAGTGTACATACTACACACAGTATAGTAGTATGCTATTCCGAACATAGCCACTTTTAGCCCCTGCAGATACAGTCCCATTTACACAAAATACATGAAACTAAACAGTCTAGAAGCTTCCTGGAGTCTCTGTCCTCACAATGCTGGCACATTGTAACCATAAGCCGGGAAGAAATCAGTACGCACATATTAACATGCTCTACAATCTTGATTTCATTCACAAACGGCATAAAGCTGATATGGGTTCAAATATCAAATATGAATGTCTTTGAGTTTTGTGTAACAAGCGACATATTTGTGCAAATCACACAGTTTGTGTGGCTGATCTTCCACACTTCACATTTAAGTTGTTTATAATGGTGAATGTCATTTATTCAAATTTATTTTAATTGTTCCTTTTCTCTTTAAATACTTGTGTAAGTGTAAAAAATAATAATAATAGAACATTTGAATTGAAATGAGGTTGAGAATGAAAAATACTGATTATAGAGATACAATTCATTTTGATACATGTGATTTGTATTTTTAAGTATTTGTCCTGGGGTGCAATACTGACTATCATGGCATTAAAGTCAGTTTTCTATTAGTTTATTTGTTTAAAAAAAATAGTAATTGTGTTTCACAACTGTTTCACAGTTTTTCATCCACTAAAATAAACCCTGCACATACTATTATGAAATAGTTCGTTGTCAAAATGACCAAAGATGCTCTTTTAAAAGATCCGGTGTCAGAGCTTTAGGGGTTTGTTTCATCATGTTGTATGCAATTCACAAAGCGCACTGACAACATTAATGTGAACGAGTGAATTATGGATCTGTCAAGCTCAGGAACCGTCAGCTAGAAAGCCAAAAGTCATTCATTCCTTTCAAGAGGGAATATGTATTTTATTTCTGTGGTTATGTTCTCTTTAATGTGCTTTCTTAATTGTACATATTGATTTTTCCCCCCCCCTTTTCTATATCTGTGTGCACATTTCCTGCCTCTGAATTCTTTTTCTTCACATGTGCCTCAGATGAACAAATTTTTTCTGATTATATATCTAATAAAAAGCTTGATTACAGAAGCAAGTTTGATCTCAAAAGTTGTTTTTTAAACACCGTTTAATTTACAGAAACATCAAGGACAAAATAGTTTTCATAGGAGTTAAAGTTAGGGTAGGCAATGTTTTTCATAAACACTTTTTGTTATACTGGTTGAAACTCTATTCACATCCTGATGGCAATCAATAATAGAAGTGGTCTAAATATTAAATGTACATAATCCTTTGTGGAAGACTCAGGACTGAAAAATGTATGTCCAATCATTGTGCTTTGAGACATAGTCCACACTACTGCGTTTTCGTTTAAAAACGGAGACCTTTTGCTACGTTTGCACCTCCCGTCTAGACTAAAACGGAAAAAACAAAGACCTGAAATGGAGAAGTTTAGAAACGCTGCAGCTCCGTTTTGCGTTTTGAATCTCCGGAGGGCGTTTTAGTGAAGATGGGACAAAACGGAGGAATTTAGAAACGACGACGCTCGGCTCTATGATTGGGTGTCATCAGTCATGACGTGTCCTTCCCTGATTCGTCAGCCACCCATCAGGTAGCTAACGTTACTTTCTTCTTCAAATCTGAGGAATAGTCAATCCGTTTCCTGTTTACACCGGCACGCGCATGCCCAGTGTTGGTGAATGGTCACGTGATCTGCGTTTTCAGAAGATTTAATGTGCACGGAGATCAATTCTAATACGCAGATAAAACGCTGGTGTGGACAGAGATTGTATTCTTTTTAATTCTTCGTTTTTAAACGAAAACGCAGTAGTGTGGACGTCGGCCCAGATCAGGGCCACATGTGGATTCCAGCGAACCAGATGTGGGCCGTATCTGGGCGAAACTAAGCGGTGGCTTTGAAGACGCTCTGAAGGGAGGGTGGGATCTCATGCTTTCAAAGCTAGCCTCTCAGAAATTGCCTACCCTAAACTGTCATTTAATGTCTTTATCAAAAAAGTAAAAACTGATTGATAAATAAATAAGCATACCGGTCAATTATTAATTACATACTCAGTGAAGATTTACTTAAACACCAGTCACACTAAACAATCCATGATAAAGGGCAAGTGACTATGCCCAGTAGGCGATGAGAAACACAGCCAGTGACATACAGACGATGAGGTTGGCGTTTACCACGTGTCTCATACAGGGCTCTTCCTCGAGGGAACATATCGGAGTCTCTGGAGGAGGAGACATGGGCTTCCCTTCTTTCTGCTTCTCCATTCCACAGATCCAGAACAGAGCCGATTTGAGTTTAGAGGAACCCGCTTCACTGGACACAGACCTACTGGAGTCTGGTGAGAAACACAGCGCTCAGAATTACATGTAAACAGGCTGAATATACATGATGTATTAAGTGCATTTTATATTGCCTGCCAAATGCATTTACACTTGCATGGCCATTTGTTTGCAGATGCCACTTTTGTGATTTCTATGTAAAATATTGACATTCAAATATTAATTGTTATGCCAATGTTTTTTGGAGTTAAAAGACTGACAAAAAGAAAAAAAATTATGACACAAAAGTCCAAATTATGACATAATTATGAGAATTTTTTTTAAATTATGACACAAATTAGATTATGACAAAAAGTAAGTGTCAATTTCGCAAATGTATGACTTAGTATGTCATAATTGTAACATCTCATAATTATAACATATTATGATTTAACGAGATTATGTATGTAGTGTTTTTTGGTGTCATGCTTATATTTCACGTTCAAATTTTTCACTCAGATGTTTCTTATTTCCTCCACTCATTTAAACACTTTTAAAAATATCAAATGACTTTGTCTCCCTCTTCTGGATAACTGGACTATTAAAGGCAAAGAATTAAGCATAAAACTAAGAATAAATCAGGATAGACTTGACAATTTACATCACCTTGGCAAACCATTGAATGCATTATTTATTCTAAAACATACTGAAACTTATCTGTCCGTTTAATTAAAATCACAAAATAATGCAACAAATGCATGTGAATTGGAAAAGGTACCTTCTTTCATTTGATATGCATCGTTTTCCATGTCTTTTGTGTTCTGTGTGGCGCCTTCGATCGTGTAGAGATCTGAAGCCACAACCTCTTCGCTTTCTTTCACAGGGTCAAAGCGTGTGTACCACGTCAAACGACTGATCTGGAAAATAACAAGGCCTTTAAACCGGACGTGTGTATATTCTCAAGGTTTATGAAGACATTTCGGAATACATTTCTGAATTTTTGTGAAATTGCAAAATGTGTGTGTTTACCTGCTCTGGTTTGGGCTTCTCTGTAGCCAGACTAACACACACCACCACGATTAGTGTGAGGAGACTGAGAATGATGGAGAAGTACAGGAAGTGAACATATTTGATGATGTCAGGCCTGGTGTCGCTCTCATAGCACAGCGGTGTAGGATAGACGAAATCCAGGATCATCCTTATAACGCCCACCAACATGCCCACTATCAGACCCCAGAATGCACCCTACACCAACAACAACACAATCAGTTAATGTGTTTATTATTTATTGATCATATACATGAATAAAATACCTTTACACTGTATATAAAGTGCAGTGAATGACCTTCTAAAGTTCATATACTAGACAGAAGAGTACATTATGGATTATCATAATTATGAGGTTAAAAGGTCAATAATAACATGAGCAGAAATTATGAGATAAAAAGTTTACATGACATGCTGTCATAATTATAGGATAAAAAGTCATAATTATGAGATAAGTTGACATAACAATTTTAAACAAAGCAAAAAATTATAAATAAAGATAAAGACTAAACATAAATAAAGATAAAGTGTCTAAATTATGACCGTCATAATTATGAGATTAAAAAGGTTGACATTGTGACAATGTTGTAATAATGAGATTAAAAGTGACACACTGTCATAATAAGATAAAAGCGAGATAGAGTTTAAATTGTCACTCATTATGAGCTTTAAAAAGTCAACTTTGTGACAATGTTGTAATAATGAGACAAGTTAACTTTGAGATCAAAAGTTGACGACACGCTGTCATAATTATAAGAGACTTGCACTGACAAATTTTAAAATATGTCACTGCCATTTTTTTGTCTCAAGATTCACAGCAGTTTTATGTTGTTGTTGTTTTTTTTTTCAAAAGGTACTTTTGTCCTATTTGATCTACGGTCTAGTCCTGCCTCAGTCTAAACCCTGTCTGTGAAACCAGGCCAAAAAGTCAAAATTATGACAAAATTCTAAATGATGACAGTCGATTATGAGATGATCAAAACGAAAATTGACATTATGAGACAAGTCAATTAAAAAAATAATAATAATGTCAGACTTTTTGTCATTTCGCTTTTATAATTAAGATTATGTCATCATTTTAACCATCTCATAATTATAGCCTTTAACTATAATTATGATTTTCCAATTTCTTTTTTGTGGAAGAAATGGGCTTCCATATTACACATTACATAGTATAAGTTCATAGTGTATAGTGAGTCATTTGAGTATTACCATCTATATGAGTGAGTGATTATTTATTCATTCACTCAACCGACAGTTCAAACATTGATTAACTCTGTTGCGCAGCACAACACTTCTGCAGTAGCTTCGCTTTTGTACTGTTTTTGTTGGTGGAGCAATAATAGACAAAGCAAACAGCAAAATATTTTTAATACCTCACACTATCAGTCTTGGTGTTGGTCTTGACATCCACTGTCATTGATATTGAATCAATCACAGTGGCAAGGCAAAATCTCAGCCAACAGTGCTTGTGATATTACTTTATTTATAATTTAACCCATGATATAAGTGTGAATTTACATACATTACTAATGAATACTTTTCAAAATCTAATGAAAACATTAAAAAGGAAGGAAAAAAAACATTTAAATGCTTGTACCTTCTCATTGGTCCGTTTCCAGAAGCATCCCGCAAGGAAGATGACTGTTATGGGGGGCTGCAGGTACATACTGATGGATTGGATGTAGATGAAGAGCTGCCCACCCTGACTGGCCTGAACTAGAGGAATCCACAGCACTGACACCACCACTAACACCAACACAAACACTCTTTGACATGGGAACACACACATACACAACAGTTAAAAACAGCTGACTTTACCAGAGAGCTAAATGTATTAAGTATTTGTAGTTACTAGTTGTAGAATGACAATACTAGATTAATTTGCCAAAAGCTTGACCAAAAGAGAACAGATAAACAGCTGTTCAACATCAACGTTGCATAATGTTAAAGGTATAGCGGAGGATTTTCTTTTTCCGGGTGGGTAGTCTTTACTATTGGTCCACCTAAGTGTCAATCATTCTGGTGATATGTTTACGTAAGGCCGTCGTAGGCTACGTGCTCATCCCTATGTAGTTTTCACTTTCAGGTGTATTATGTCGGAGTTACGGTTTCAGCCATTCCTTTGAAAATGGCTGAGGGTCGAAAGAGAAAAAATGTTTACGAAGTGTATGATAAGAAGAGAAAGGCCGCAGAATATAGAAACAAGACCGGAGTGATTTTGGGTGAATATCACACGCTGGCGTGCGCTAAAAGCACAGGTTGGGCTTCTCACTGATGCCGCAGTCGCGAAGATTCTAGCAGACAGGTAAAGTTTGTCACGCTATTTGGAGAAATCCATTTAAAATCACTAGTAAAAGTTAATGCAAGCTACAATGCTAGCCCTGGCACGAGTCATGCACCGCATAGACACGGTAAACATCTCAATTTGTCTAAAGTAGCCTTTTGACCAAAATGGTAAATGGTATCACGCTGAAATATTCTAAAATCTTGTGTGTTCATATTCTAAAACCTTGTGTGTTTATTATTACACCAATGCAACAAGCTACTTCTCCATATGCAACTATGTATAAAAATAACGTATTATTAACAATGAGAGATATTAGGTTAAGGACCAACGTAATAGCACTGCTTATATGTTGCCATGTAACGTAATTGCGATTTGCAAAATAGTTTCCTCAGAACGTATTTCGTGTGATAAGGGTTGCACATATCATGTCTTGAGTCCTCGGTCACTCAATCGATCAGTATAATAAGTATATAAAACACGGAAGGGCATTTGACATGTTGTCTTTTTTATGAATATTTTTGAGTTAGTTTAGAATTTGCAACATAATTGTGCAAGGCGTAATAGACGTTCCCTCTCGGGAGCAAGAGTGCTGTGTTTGTGCATGTGCATTTTTTTTTAAAAATTGGAGAGGGCGGGTCTTCTCTAAAATTCGGAAAGATCCTCCGCTATACCTTTAATGTCCACAAAACATGAAATTATAACATCAGTATTATAACCAAATTTTAATGACTGTCCAATGTTGGAGTCTTTCTGACGGCCAATTACATTTAAATGCAAAAAGGCTGTTTACAGGCTGAAGAAATTGGTGAATTTGCCTTAAAAATCTAATGTGTGTAAAACAGCTTGTTGATGTCACACCTCCCCACAATCATGAGCTCCCACTCGGAGGCAGTGCGGCGAATGTTTCTCCACAGGTCCATGGTGAAAATGGTGCTGGAACTGTTGAATATGGAGGTCAAAGAGGACATGAGAGCAGCCAACATCACAGCCATCATTAAACCCCTCAGACCTGGACAAACACACACAAGAAAAATGAGTTATCTCAGCCAGCTGATCTAGAAACTGAAAAACAACCAACATGCACGTAAACAATCAAAGAATCTCACTAATACCTGCGGGAAGGAGCTCCATCACCAGTTTGGCATAAGCAATGTCCGAGCAGCCCACAGGATTCCCACAAACCTGTTTACACACATCTGGGTCTCCACAGCCCACCTCGTCTACAGTTCTCACACACACACACACACACACACACACGTTCATATGGATTTCAATAGAACAAACTATACATTTAGAGGCCTTAAACTTTGGTGTTTGTTTCAGTAGTTCACCTGGGTAAAGTATCCTGCTGATCATGCCTGGAATCACCATCATGAAGAAGGGCAGAACTTTGAGGTAAGCGGCGAGCAGAGATCCTCCTTTAGCATGCAGAATGTTCTTGGAAGCAAGCGAACGCTGCACTATCACCTGCACACAGGAACAACAACAAAATATAATCAACAATCTAAACATAAGCAACGGCAATAATAAATCTACAACAACAGCAATAATCAACAAAAGCAGCAGCAATAATCTACAACAATAAATCAACAACAGCAGCAGCAGCCATAATCAACAGCAGTAACAATCTATAGCAACAACAGCAAACAACAGTAACAGCAATAGTTTACAACAGCAATAATCAACAGCAGCAGCAATAGTCAGCAGCATTATCATCATGGTCGTCTTAAAAAAATTCATCAACACTGCTGGTCGTTCACCTGGTCAGAACACCAGTACCACATGGAGGGCATGGACATGCCCAGGATTACTCCCGGCCACGGCAGGTCAGAGGTCACAGGGTGACGGAATATGTGAAAGGCATCATCACGAGGGATTCCGCAGGTGGTGTTGGGCACTCGGATGGAGGGAATAGCTTGAGGATACTTGTCCAGGACAGCCTGAAATCCCCCAACCTCTGCAAAACCTGACATCGAGAAAAAAAAAAAAAGAAAGAAAAAAGAGTGTCTTATAATTGCATAGAAGCTTCAGAATTTTTTTAATTATTGTCGTAGTCACTCACTGAAGCCCATGAGGATCAAGGCTCCGACCACCATGATGACAGTCTGAACCGCATCGGTGTAGATCACTGCTGCCAGACCGCCTGTGAACAGTCAGTCAAGATATGCTTTACAAGACTTCCTCATTTCTAGGATTAAAGGGCCGTTCACAACAAGATGGATAACCAGAACTATCGATGGCCACTTTCGAAACACTGCTTCATGAACCTTCGAAACGTTTGCAAATCAATAATTTAGAACCAGTGATTTAGAGCATATTTCAAACTGCAAAAGCCAAATGATTTCAGTGTATGAGGTTTTGTTAAGTCGTAACTATTTCGAAACCTTTTGAGTTGTAGTTAGATAGAGCAAGAACTTCTAGACAGATCAAGAACATCATTTGATGCAGTTAGAACTTGAACTCTATAGGCATACGCGAGATAGATTTAAAACTTAAACCTACTGTACTTAGACAGACCTATAGTTTCTTAATAGATGGATTGATCTATATATACTAGAAAATCAATATCTAGATAGATAGTCCATATTCAGTAATATAAATAGGAGGATAGTTTTGAAATGTCGATCTCTGTGAACCCATGAACCAGTGTTTATAGTTTTTATCTGATTTCGGATCAGTTTTATAAATGTGTCAACATTTAATGACACATTTGTAAAATAAAAACGAAATGTTTTGATTTACCAAACCCTCCATAAAACCAAACAAAACAAGTCCTACAATTGAATAAAATCGCATATTATACACTACATACACTTCATTTGAGACTACACTTTCAATAAAACATTTCCCAAAGTAAACTATGGCCGCAAATTCCTCGTTACCAACACAATTCAACAGAACTTGCGACCATAGTTGGCAGGTGATGTTTTTGGGAAACGCACCCCTATCACTAACTATAAATAATCATTCTAATTCTATTAGAATAGAGATATCCAAACCATATTGATAACTACATGAGGGAACGATCTCGATAGTATCACTTTCAGAACTGATGAGCAATAAAAATACAGACAGCCAATCAGAATACAACTAATTTAAAGAGATTAAAGAGATAGTTCACCCAAAAACGAAGATCATCCCATAATTTAGTCCCCCTCAATCCATCCTAGGTGTATATGATTTCTTTTGAAGCCCAAAAAAAGCACATCCATCCATCATAAAAGTAATCCATATGGCTCCAGGGGGTTAATAAAGGCCTTCTGAAATGAAACGATGCATTTGTATAAGAAAAATATCCATATTTATAACTTTATAAACTATAATCACTGGCTTCCGGTAACGGCCGTATCCGAGTCAAGTTCTGGCGGAAAAGTGACCTCTGACCTTTCAGAAGGCTTTTATTAACACCCTTTAAAGCGGCAGATGGCGTCTTTATGCTGTCGTGCTTTGGTGTGGATGCTAACATGGTTATGGTTCTGAGTGTGAACAGCCCTTAAGAGTAACAAAACATCCGACCTGCGATGGTGTACAGAGCCGTAATGCCGAGAAGCAGAACCACAGCGAGGTAGATGTTCCACTGCAGAGCCTGCTGGATGAACACAGCTCCTGCATACATGTCCACCTGCACACACACACTCACACAGGTCAATTCAAAAGCTGATTACCAAGTCAGAGAATTTTTTATTGATCATACTTACTGATATTTTGGTGAAGATGTAGATGAATAGATATAAAACACAAAGAAATAACTGTATTCTTATGCCACCAAATCTTTTCTGTAAATACTCAGGCATTGTTGTGACCTGAAAAGAAATGAAAAAAAAAAATACTAATTTACGTCATTTGTGTTTAATTCACACTAATTGCAAAAACAACTAGATAAAAACAGTTGCATGTGTGTGTGTACACTTCAGTCCAGAAGTTTGGGGTCAGTAAATAACAATGCAACCACATTATTCAATAAGGATGCATTAAATTGGTCAAAATTGTCAATCAAGGAATTAACAATTAATGTTGCCAAAGATTTCCTTTCTTTTCATCAAAGAATCATCATAGTTTCCACAACGGCACAGCTGTTTTTAACATTGATAATGATCAATTGATAACCTGTTAAAGGGACCTTAAATGTATGAAATACAGTCTCAAATCTGTTGTTTTCTCACCCTTGATGCAATATAGATGGGTAAAAACAGCCAGCCCAAGAGCAGCACCATCAGCATGCCCTGCAAATGAACATGAGCCATTCACCTTTTCCACCTTTGCCTTTTTCCATAATGCTCTCTATAATGTGGTATATTCAGAAAATTAATTATCTCTTAAATAAATTGTGTATTGAGTGCTCACGTTCCACTCATAAGCAGTTGCACCGATACCAGCTGCTGCTCCAGAGCCTGCGAGACCAATGAAGTGCCCACTGCCCACATTACTGGCAAACAGAGAGGCGCCCACCTGCATATCATAGAGGATAGAAAACATGTGAGCTGGAAATTTGACCTGTGAGGGGCCGTTTACACCACAACTAAAAACTTTTGAAGCATTTTTTGTATGTTCATTTATATGACAATGGCATTTTGAAAACCTGAAAGCAAAAAAAAAAAAAACAAAAAAAACACAAACATCTGAAAATGAAAAACTGTTTCAAAGTGTCAATTTTTGAAAAGGATACAGTTATTGTCACCGTGTAAATTTGTAAACTAAAAGAATTTGTGAAAAAGAGACATAATGTACATGTATATTACATTACGTGTAATTAAACGAACCCAACAGGCTATGACATAAATCTCTCCAGATCCCCAGTAAAAAAAAAAAAAAATTAAATTTTGCACATAGAAAGCTATAAAAGAGCTGTTTTGATGACCTAATATTTGTTTCATTGTGACATTTTCATGACAATTTCTCTCTGATAAAGTGTTTTTATTATAATGCCAGGGTTATTATCGTTAACTAACACTAAAACCGTACAAATATTTTAAGCTGGTTGACAATGCAACATTTCTAATTTTAGTTTTGTTTAAATTGAATTACTAAAAAAATATATTTTATAAAAACTATTTAAAAACTAATACAAAATACAATAATTTTATTTAAGTGAAATATTTCTAAACAGAATATATACAAACAAAATCTCATTCAAATATTACCAAATTATAATAGTAAATGATTAATATATTTTAGTATTAATTAGAACTGATTCATTTTTTCATGAAAATAATTTTCCTAAGAATAGGCTACATTTTTTATTTTATTTTTTATTTTGTTTGTTTGTTGATGTTTTTTTTTTTTTTTTTGGAGACACCATTACTTTTTAACTCACCGGCCACCAAGTCATGCTTTTCCCAGCAAGAAAATATCCATCCACTGTGCTCCTCTTGGTCTTCCACATAGACTGTTGGGTGAGCAAAGGTTATAAATATGCCATATATGATAAGTATGATAATAATATGATAAGTAACAGATTTACTGGAATAACATTTTGTCACTGTGAAATGACATAGCAGTGCTTTTTGTGGTTTCAGTAAACTTACCCACAAGCCCACGCCCAGAACCAAGAGGAAGTAGATGACAAGCACCACTATATCTGGGGTGGCCAGGGTGGTCGACGGCGATGTGATCTCAGCGGTGGGGGAAGGAGACATATTGGGATGCTCAGTGGCAGCCATGAGGTCAAAGGTCAATGAGTTTCTCAGGTGTGTCTCTTTAAAACAACAGATGGTGGATAATCTCCCTCACATATACACACATTCAATGGAATGGCATCCAGACGTGACTTTGTGTCTTTACTGATTATACATTATCTAGCCTGTATACGCATGTTAGTGCATTTTCTGTCGTTTAATAAGATACCGGGTATGTTACAACAGAGGAATGGCAATGTTTTTCTACACAATGTAAAACTAAAAAATTTACTTATAAGAAAGGACCATAGGGCAAATATTTCATAAAACTCATTTCATAAAGCACAAATAGAGAAAGGCATTATACTACAGAACTCACATTATCTAATTTCACTTCAGATCCAAATATGATAAAGAACCCATACAAAAGACCATGTTTCCTAACAGATGTGATTTAATGCATGGATTTAATTGGTTTCAATCTCAAAAGAATAGAGAAATATGGTAAATGCAAATATGCATACATCAGCCAGCAATACACACATTTTCCAGGTTTCATTAAAGGGTTAGTTCACCCAAAAATGAAAATTAAGTCATTAATTACTCACCCCCATGCTGTACCAACCCCGTAAGACCTTCGTTCATCTTCGGAACACAAATGAAGATATTTTTGATCAAATTTGAGAGGTGGATCACTGCTACATACTGTAGACTGTAGGGATCGAAACATGACGGCCCAGAAAGTCAATGAAGAAAAATTTGTTTAAATATTCATGTGACAACAGTGGCTCAACTATAAGTCAACTATTTCTTCCTTGTAGGCCTGAGACGAGTGTTCAAGAGATTTCCATGACGCATGCGCGAGAATTGCGATCTCCTTCAACTACTTCAGTTCAGTTCTAGTCGAATAAAGTCGTTATTTTTGTTTGTTTTTTCGCACAAAAAGTATTCTCGTCGCTTGATAAACTTATACTTGAGCCACTGTTGTCACATGATGGAATATTTAAACATTTTCTTCATTGAATTTCTGGGCCGTCAAGTTTCAATCCCTTAGGCAGCCTATGTAGCAGTGACCACCTCTCAAATTTAATCTAAAATGCCGTAAGGGGTATGTGAAAGTGATGACGCTCGAGCCATCGCGCGACTCTGTTACTCTTAGAAGAAAGTTTGTGTTCGTCATCAACAAAGAAAGGACGAACAAATGTCTACAAACTGGAAAGAAGCAGAGACCAGGAGCTCCTCACTATCCGCGCTGAAGCTGAGATCGTTCACCAGCTTTGTGGAACGGTATGCACGTGTACATGTTTTCGACGCGTACGTTACACGTCTCATCCTGATGTCATGTGTCTTCCCGGGATTTTTACGGGTTGTGTGTGAACGCACTCACAGATCCCGGCAAATCACTGGCAGTGTGAATGATCCAAAATCAAATCTATAATCAATCAATCAATCAATCAATCAACCAATCTATCTATCTATCTATCTATCTATCTATCTATCTATCTATCTATCTATCTATCTATCTATCTATCTATCTATCTATCTATCTATCTATCTATCTATCTATCTATCTATCTATCTATCTATCTATCTATCTATCTATCTATCTATCTATCTATCTATCTATCTATCTATCGATCTACAGTGTATGTATCTACAGTGATAAGGAAGTAGTGAATCCCAGTTTCTCTAACTGCAGTTGCATGCTGTCAGGGGCCTAAACCTAAACCACTGCACAATGAAATAAATATGAGGATAACATAACATCAGATGTCCCTGCTGTTTGAAACACCATGCCCAAGAGAAGGGGCTGTGCCTATCAATCGCCGCAAGTAAGTTCTAAGATGATAATAACATCAACACTTATGAAGTAGTAGAAATAAACAGCTGCTGACAAAACAGTAGTTATGGGCTTCCTACCATAAAACTAGCTATCCTGCACTGACAGGATCCGAGAAGCTAGCGAAGAATTGTCAGATTATTGAATCTGTAGAGTGGGCTTGAACACCTATAGGGCATTCCATGTTCTGTGAACTATAAGCCAAAGACATCGCATCCAGAATCCAAACTGATAGACTCTGCTTCTAAACCGACAAACCTTTAGTGCAACTCCAGCAGGAGGTTCACTCTGTTCAATGCCCAGGTTTTGCACTGTGTTGAGAGTACCTTAGGACCACAACCTTTTCTTGGTTTGAAAGGAACTCCACAGTAACCTCGGGCCAAAAAACATGCAGGACTCGCTGACTGAAAGAGCACATTTTCACAAACACGCTTAACTCATGCGAGTGCAAGCAAAAGCACCATCTTGAAAGAGAGCACTTTCAGCAATGCCGACTGGAGTGGATCGAATGGAGGACATGTAAAGGCTTTTAGAACTAAAGCCAAATCCCAAAATGGGCTAGATGAGCGAGAAGGGATTAGCTGACGGGATATGTTGGGTGGCAGAATCCTAGGATAGTTCAACACACTCCCTGATTGAACCATGATCAATCAATCATCCAGATCATTCAGCAGGCAAACTACTATCTTTAAAGGGTAGAGAGGCGCTTTCACACATTCCATGAATGTACACACTCATTGTAGGGACTGCGAAGTGGTACGCTGTGCCCGTGAAACAATCTCAGAAACACTCGTGATGAGGGCTATCTGAATATAGAAGTACTGTAGGAGCTCAAGAGATGAACTGAGATGAGAAGACCTCAGGCCAACCTGAGAGAGGGCTAACAGTTTGAGGGAGCGTTCTGATAATATGCTGTAACGGTAGAGGATTTTAAAGCTAGGAGTTTGAGGGAGCAGACAATGTTATACCTTTGAAAGGGCAACCTACGGTATGGGGCTCTCCGCTTTAGGGCAAGAGCCGAGGGAAAATAATTCTGATACAGAAGCACCTACTTCTGTCTTCCAGCTTTGTCACACAGCACAGGGGAACAATGATAGCACAAAGACTATAGGGATCTCAGCTTGTATTGTGTGAATGAGTGACTTGAGCATTTTGCACTTATACAAGCTGTCCGTATTCAAGGCCTGAGGGGGTTGGAGGGGGCTGCGTATATCTGTAGTGAGCTCTGAACACGGCAGACCACTGCTTTGAGACGGGGACTTCTTATATCGTGTGAATGAGCAAACAAGCGGGACATTTTTTGCTTTATACAGGGCAGATTGCCGCTTCAAGGTGGGTGTATATGGACTCCTAAGGTTCACCACAGGTCATACTCATCATCATCATCTGATATGCCAAAAAAGACCAGGCCGTGGGCTTCATAAGCCCTTGGTCCCAGGATGCGGAGACTGTCCCTGGTGAAAATCGCAAGTAGGTCAGGTGGAAGCGAGGCACACGGATACTGACTTGGCGTGAGCCTGTCCCCTGAATGTCCTGCTTCAGCGTCTTGCTCTGTGGCTCTTGAGAGGTGGAGAGCGGAAGCAGGAGGCCAGTTTATCATCAAAGATGATGTCGATACAGAGATGAAGGATCCTGACACTCATCACTTCATAGCCATGTCCTTCCAAATCTGAAAGAAAACGCCATACTCACCAGAACGCATGCAGGGGAGTCTACTGGTTGGACTAAATCTCATTGACAAGTAGTAACTGGCTTCTTAAAGACAGAGCAGCTGTCTGAAGGAGAGAGATTCACAATGTCTGAGGAAATGCTGTTCACCGCCGCCTTACATAGCACATATTTCACACGCTTTAACGTCATTGGCCATTGGGTTAAAATGCTGTTATTCCAATGAGGCTTCAGTATTTCTACGAGGAAGGTGTTTCCCCAAAGGGTCAGCTCTGACACAACGTTGAGACCGAATTGAAAAGGAATTGTATTGAGAAGTGTAAAGTTGCAAATAAAAGGTGTTTGCAAAAGCATAATACTTACTGACACTAATATCGAAATTATTCTCATGTAGTCCACATTAAATATAATGAACCCTCACTAAAAATAAAACAAACAAGCCTACTAACAATCAAAAGTGCTTTTTCAGCCTGAAGATTTAAACAAAGCCGATTCAAAGACTTCAAGCACTTTTTCAAGAGGAGTACAATTACTTGAACACATATGGCCATTACTACATAAATAAAAATAAGTAAATGAACAAAACTAACCTGAATAACGGGTCAGAAACAGTCAGAGGTCTCTATCCTAGTCAAGGGTCCATTCAAACAGGAATTTACAGGGTCTCCAGTGAACGAACCCAGAGTTTCTTTCAGTACCGTAGAGATGATCCCTCTCCGATCAAAGAGGTCAAACTTCACTTGCCTTCATGTAACACTACACACTGGTTAAAATGTAAGGGCGTTTTATTACCAAAACAGTAATGACAACAGAACGATGTTGCAACATCACTTATTACATTACAGAGTTACTTAGTAGAGGGAGGCGCCAACATTTATTATACATGATACATTACAAAAGAAAGGTAAACAAACTCTGAAATAGCCATCATGTTATTTCTCAAATGAATTAACAATTGCAAAAATGCTGTACTCCCCTGTAAATGATCATAACTCTGTAGGAGTTTCTATATTTCTTGCATTTATCACCCCCAACCATTAATTCGTCTTCTATGGCACTTAAAGACGAAGGGCAATACAGCGCAAAGCACGACGGAAGTGTTTTTGCTAGTTTCGCCCGACGCAGTTATCATTCTTCGCCATGTTGTTTAAATATCAAATGCATTTGCGAGCCACTGTGCGCCTATGGGTGTGCTGGTCTGAAAACGAGGTGTGTTCAGGGCGGCACACCTAATAGGGTTGCTATTTTGACGCAAATGAAATAAACTGCGCCATTGACCAAACCAACTGAAACCTGGTCTAGAGTCAATGGTGCAGTATTTATTTAACTATTTAACGAGTAATGTAAGTTAGTAATGTAGTTAGAAATGTGCGTCTATAGGTCGGGTCCACAAATGCGCGTACACTCTGCTTATTACACACACACACAGGGACGCATGAGCAGCAGCACATAAACTAGCCGATTATTAAAAATAAAAGGATTACAATGTAAAAGATTAATGTTGAGAACATAAAGATATGGTGGAATCCGGCGTGTCCCGTAGATGGTCTGCTCACACGCTTTAACCTCGCGCACGTGACGAGCAGCTCCGGTTGCTCTCTGGAGAAGCGTTCAGTTTTTCCGCTTCCAAATTCCGCCATGTAAATAGCGAATCCGCCATGGCGCGAAGGCAACTGGCTTTTAAAGGGAATGGAAGGTGAGAATCTGATTGGTTTATTGCATGTTACACCCAAAACACACGCATTACTCATTAAGAGAATAGGGACAAACCTTTTGGACCCGTCGTTAAACTAGCAAAAGTGGCCCTGCGCTTTAGACCATGCGCTTAGATCGTTAAAAGTTGGGCCCAAAGTCGATCAAACCTAAAATTCTTCTTTGGGCAGTCCTATCCATGATGAGAGCATGAAAATGAGCTATTACAACCCGATCTCACGAGAATTCGTACGAATTTTACGAGGTGGCTAATTCGTAACAATTCGTACGATCTCACTCGTACGAATTAGTACGATTTTGCTAAATCGTACATATTTTACGAATTAGCCAATTCGTATGAATTCGTACGAATGACCTACCCCTGACCCCGCCCCTAAACATAACCGTCACGTGGGTTTAGACAAATCGTACGAATTCGTACGAGTGAGGTCGTATAAATTAGTACGAATTAGCCACTTTTGAATCACTCGTACGAATTCGTACGAATTGGTCATGAGATAGCGTAGGCTATTAACACTGTGAAACAAGCCCTAAAAGAAATATTCAAAACATGTAGGACACTTTACATTACAATAAATAACAGTAATAAATGAAAGCTATGAAATGTGCTTTGATCATTCGGTAAAAAATATTTTACTTACATTTAGTTTCATTTCAACCATGATGCAATTAAAATGATTTCACATGATAAATATTATAAAAATATTTGTTCATCTGGGAAACCAGTCAACACTTAGATAAAGGCTCAACCACGTGTGATATTTTCACAATTTTGTTTTAACAATCAGCAGTTTAATACAAATACAAAGGCTAGTTTAATGTTTTTGAACATTCAGAACAGCAATTAAAAGAATGATACAAGAATAATATGATTCACTATGGTAATAAGCACTTAAAGCAGATATAAAGCAGCACAATGGTTAATTTTTAATAAAAAGTTAATATTTAAAAATAGCAAATGCATATAGTGAAATCATAATCTAGCTCAGCATTGTTTCTGTAACTAGTAAAGCAATATATCATCTACAGCAACTGCCTCTCTCGTAAAATAATATCTCTCAATCAATGCAGTTTTTTCTTAATAATAATAATAATTCATAATATATATTGCACTTAAACATTCTGCATACCAGGAATTACTTTTTCTTAGTTAAGACATTAGTTTAACAAAATACCTGCTTTACAGTACAATGACCAAGAAACAACTCTGAACCAAGTTGTTTAAATACATTTAAGAAGAATTAAGACACATTGTTAAAGCACTTTTCTCCTAAACAACACTTGTATTAATTAATTCATCAAGTCAGACAAATCTGACGCTCACAGCCCTAATTAAACTTCACATTAAATATATCTTATCTAACTGCACTTATTAATGTTTACAAATCCACTGCAAAAAGTTTGGCGGCAATTCTTGCCCCAACTTTTCGCGTGTCCATTTCCAAGAGGCAAAAACGTCCTGGTGTTTGAGTACCAAAAACAATCAAACAGTCCATCCTGTAAATAACATCCTAGAGCAGATGTTTTTACGCCATTTCTGATCTTTCCCTGCACTATTTGCTCTAGAACAGAAGCTTTTCTGCCCGGTCTGTGCCTGAGAGTTCACCTGTACAACTCACCAGGACTCATTATATTGTTACTGTACACGTGTCCTTGAATTACCGTAAGGCTATCACTAAATCAGACTGGATATGTACATGAGTGTATGTAAGTGAGCGTTTATGTACTGTAAGTCTGTGTGCCTCATGTTGGGTGGTTTCGTCACCAGGCTTCAGGAGAGGCTGGGCGAGGGCTCCTGGGGCTCCGTGGAGGGTTTTCTGTGGTCTGGATATCACTCAAGGCCCTCTAAAAACAACAACAAACATATTGAAATACACATATAATGCCGATAAAATATAAACTCCGCATCCAGACTCATGGTACATTTTGATTTTGGGCTATTTGGCTTTTCATAAAGTGTTGTTTCAGACTAGTGGAAATAAAACATTCAAAATCCACTTTTAAGTGTTCAGTTGTATTGCATGTGTAAGTACATATCTTTTTGTTTTGTCAAAATGAGTTTTTTCTCCAGAGTTGTATCAGAAATTGCATTAATGTACATTGCAGAATCAGATGCACCTAACTTTACCGTTTTATTCCTATCTACATTCTGAAGGTTTTTACAGAGGGGTCTGCAATATGTCATTTACCTGATTTTATGCAAAAAAAAATATGAATTACAACACCCTGTGTTAATGTATTTGACAATGGAAATCATGTTTTTCTTTATTGTGAATATAACTTTTAATTCTTTGGATTTAAGCGTGCATCAATGACGTTCTTTGTGTAAGCCTGAAGAGGCATTGTTAATGTTTGGTAAAACATTAGCGAGTGGAGCATGTCTAAAAACAGCTCTCGAGTGAGCTCAGATGAGGGAAGGATAAGTGACCTATTTTTCCACCTGTTTGTGCTAAAAGCCTTAATGCATTTCTTTGCTAGCATTCACCTCATTTAATAGATTGACATGCAAATTGAAAAATAAATATCCATAAAGTTGTCTAATACAAAGCTTACCTCAAATTTGGCAATGAACTCAGCGAAGATACCAAAGAAACTCTCAGTGGCGGTGGTCTTTCCATCCTCCCCGAAGAATGAAGCGACTTTGCAGAACTCTTCCATCGCCAGCTGCTGCAGAGACTCCAGAGACTGCACTGCAGGGTGACTGTTTTCCAGAAATCCCTACATCCAAGGAGTTAAGGCGGTTTGTGATGAATTTGGCAAATATCAATGTCCTGCTTGGAATCTGACCTGGATCTGCTTGGAAAATTGTTATACAAAGTGCCACTATTCCATGCTAAAAGTGCATTCAAGTAATGTCGGAAAGTTTGTATTTATGAGTTGAACATACGCAAGTCACCATAAAGTCGTACTTACAGGTGGGGAAACTGGATTTTCCTTAAACCTAGAGTTTCCACATGTCAGAGAGAAAACATATCGCATCTAATAGATGCTGCAGTTGTAAATTTGTTCAAATTAATGATTTGTTCAAAAAAATTAAAACAACTCTATATACTTTCACCTTCATATATTGAATAATAACACACCCAATGCACATTATCATCATTTGGATGTGGTATAAAAATCTTGCTAAATTCTAGTTGAAAAAAGTACATCACTATCTCCGACCAAAGTTCTATTTGAACGCAGCTGACGTCATAATTATGACTTCCCAACTGGTAAATGTGGACTTGAATGCACCATAAGATCATATCTAGACATTTTAGATATTTTGATGGAGGATACACTCATAACAACAGCAAATCGATCCTCAGCGGAGGCGGGCATCTTCTGGCAGGCTAACCGAATGTCCTGGATTGTGGCATGTAGGTCGTTGAAGTCAGAGGTCATGTTTCTCTGATTCACTGTGGAGAACAAATCAATGACAAATATTAAAGAGATCTGCAGCACCCTCTATGGAAACCACCATTAAATGTGGGAATGATGATCCATGTCTTAGACATAACTTGACGAGGAGCACCATGGATTGTGTAATCAGTGTTTGAATGAGTCTTTAGCCTTCATCCATGAAACATCCCTAAAAAAAACGAATGAATACAGACTGCATAAGGGGAACGTCCTGACTCCATAGATGATCACCTTTGGCTGCTTGTGGGACCGTCATAAGCTCCTTCCTAAAGTCCAGAACCTCGGGAAAGTGCTGACACAATGATTTCACCAGGATATGAAGAAATGTTGACTTTCCATCCACTGTTTTGGTGGTACTGAGCTTTAAGGAGAAAAATTATAGTTATATAATGTCAAAAATTAATGCTTTAAAATAAACGTTTTACTTCGACATTTTACATACAGCGACAAGGCTTACTTCAGAGAGAAAATTGATCTTAAATCCAGTCGTTTTATTGGTCTTTGGTTGTCCGTTATTCAGATAATTCCCCATAGCCAGCACAAACTGGAACAAAACACAAAAAACAAATAAGTTAATCTACATGTCATGATAAGAAGATCATGTTTATCCAACAGTATTCATGGTGTATTCTGAACAGCCTGCCTTAAGAACATGTCAACAGTCTTTTATCTGTGAATGATTTTCTTTGTTTGATTGCGTGACTGTATGATCATGCATGCCTGGGGAGAAACTAAACCACAGAAGGAATTATACCTCCAGAATCTTGGCCAGTTTTTTGCTGTTCTTGAGCTCCATTGAAGCTTGGAAAACACAGTCGTAGGCCCCTCTCATCTCCTCTGTTTTCTCCTGCAACGTAGTCTTAAAATGCAGGCTTTTCAAGCGGGTCTTATACTCGGGCACCGAAAGCATCTGAATATATATATACAAAAGCACAAATTGTTCAAATTATACACACTCAAAAAAATAAATAAATAAATAAAATACAATAAAACACATAATCATAGTATTTCATCATGTACCTGTAGGACAAACTGATCAGGCTCGCTGAGTTTGCTTGGGTCATCATTGTACTGCTCGTACTGTCTGACCTCATCATCGTCTGGCGCATACAGGAGCAGTTGTTTAATATGTGCGGGCTCCAAGCGTTCGCTTGACATCGTCATCAGCACCTGGTGTAGCTCGCCTGGCGACAGCTTCAGATGGGCAATCAAGATTGCTATATAAATGATAGAAGAGACGAAAGTGTACAAGGACCATGTGCTTGCATGCTAATGGCTAAAAGCTAAGATGCTCATCATCTAACAGTTGGGATAGTGAGCGAAAAGAGAATTCTGTTATCAAGTCTAATTTAAAGCCAAGACAAAAAAAGGACACGGTCATATACAAGTAAGCACTTGACAGGTTAGCACACATGAACATCATCTAAACATTTACAAGTAAACTCTGCAGTCCATTACAGACCAATAAAAGGAAAACGAGTAAAAGTCCCTGACTTTGTTACTCACAAGCGTTGTAGGCTTTCTTACGGGAGAGAATCTCCACCACATCTTTCTTCTTGAAAGTCTCCACCTGAGGTGAGAACTCTGGAAGAGAAA